CCTCTTGAATTGTTTGGAATAGATTGAGGAGGATCGGTGTTAGTTCTTCTGTGAATGTTTGGTAAAAATCCCTCGTGAATCCGTCTGCACTAGGCTTTTGTTTGGTGGAAGTTTTTTGATTACTGCTTCAATTTCATTGGTAGTTATCAGCCTATTCAAATTTTCTGATTCTTCCTGATTGAGTTTTGGAAGATTGTATTTTTCTAGGCATATGTCCATTTCATCTAGGTTGTCCAGTTTGTTTTAGGAAAGTTGTTTGTAGTATTTTTTTTTTACAATCCTTTGTATTTCTGTGGGGTCAGTTGTTACTTCACATCTTTCATTTCTGATTTTGTTTATTTGGGTCCTCTCTTTGTTTCTTGGTGAGCCTGGCTAACAGTTCATCAATCTTGTTTATCCTTTCAAAGAACCAGCTTTTGGTTCTATTGATTTTTTTTTGTCTCTGTTATTTATTTCTGCTCTGATCATTATTATTATCTCCCTTCTACGTACACTGGGTTTTTCTTGTTGCTGTTTTCTAGTTGTTCAAGTTGTAGAGTTAGATACCTTATTACCAGTTTTTCTGTTGTTGTTGTTGTTTTCTTTTTGAGGTAGGCCTGTAGAGCTATGAACTTCCCTCTCAGGACTCATTTCAATATGTCCCCATAGATTTTGGATTGCTGTGTTTTCATTATCGTTTGTTTCCAGAATGTTTTTTATTTCTTCTTTGATCTCTTTGGTAACTCATTCATTGTTTAATAGCATGCTATTTACCCTCCATGTGTTTGATACTTTTTGTTTTTATTGTAGGTGATTTCTAATTTTATGCCATTGTGATCTGAGAAGATGCTTGTTATAATTTCAGTCTTCTTGAATTTGTAGAGACTTAGCCTGTGCCCTAATATGTGGTCTGTCTTTGAAAATGTTCATGTGCACTTGAGAAGAATGTATATTCCATAGCTTTGGGGTGAAGTGTTCTGAAGATACCAATTAAGAATATCTGATCTAGGGAGTCATTTAGGATTGATGTTTCTTTGCTGATATTTTGTTTAGAAGATTTTTCCAGTGGTGTCATTGGGGTATTAAAGTCCTCTACTATGATTGTATTGCTGTCGATCTCTCCCTTGATATCTTCCAGAAGTTTTTTGTTGTTTTTTTTTTTAATGTATTTGGGTGCTCCTATATTTGTGGCATATAGGTTTATCAGAGTTATATCCTCTTGTTGATGCACTCCCTTTAGTATTATGAAGTAGCCCTCCTTATCTCTTATTATGGCCTTCACTTGAGGTCTAATTTCTCAGGTATAAGTATTGCTACTCCAGCTTTTTTTCTTTTCGTTTGCATGGGAAAATTTTTTTCCATCCTTTCATTCTCATCCTGTGTGTGTCTTTTGTTCTGAGGTGGGCCTCTTGTAGATAGCATATAGTTGGGTCATGTTTTTGTATCCATTCAGCTACCCTCTGGCTTTTGATTGGAGAATTTAGTCCATTTACGTTTAAGGTTATTATTGTTAGGTACTTATTTATTGCCATTTTAATTCTGTTTAATTCTGTATGCCTAGGTTTCTCTCTCTGTTTCTTCTCCTCTTACAGCATTGCCTTTAGCATTTGTTGTAATGTTGGCTTGGTGGTGATGTATGCCTTTAGCCTTTTTGTGTCCAAGATGCTCTTTATTTGGCTGTCTATTTTGAATGGTAGCCTTGATGGATAATAGTAATCTTGGTTTTAGACCCTTGCTTTCCATTACCTTGAGTACTTCATGCTATTCCCTTCTGGCCTGTAGAGTTTCTGATGAGAAATCAGGTGTCAGCCTTATGGGAGCTCCTTTGTAGGTAAGAGTTTGCTTTTCTCTTGCTGCCTTTAAGATTCTTTCTTTGACTTTAATTTTTGGCAATTTAATTATGATGTGTCTGGGCATGGGCCTGTTTGGGTTCTTCTTGCTTGGGGTTCTCTGTGCCTCCTGAACTTGTGTGACTTTTTCTTTACCAGGTTAGGGAAGTTTTCTATCCCTTCTCCCTTTCTGCCTCTTCTGGCACACCTGCTATTCGAATATTGTTACATTTCATCTTGTCCCACAGCTCTCTTAAATTGTCCTCCTGTTTTTCAATTGTTTTTTTTCTTTTCGGTTCTCTGATTGATTGATTTTTCAACCTCATCTTCTAATTCACTGATTCGATCCTCAGCTTCCCCTAATCAGCTGTGTCTTCCAATGTCTTCTTTATTTGTGCTATGTTGTTCTTTATTTGCTTTCATAGTTACTATATCTTTTCTCATGCTCTTGAGCATCTTTACCATCCTTACTCTGAACTCTTTATCTGATAAATTTCTGATCTCCATTTCATTTATCTCTTCTTCTGGAGAATTCTCTTGTTCTTTCATTTGGGGGTTGTTTCTTTGTCTCCTCATTTTGGCTTTCTGTTTGGGTTTGTGACTATCTATTAGATTGATCTGCTACGCCTCTCAATCTCTAATGCAGGACAGTGTCAAATGCTGTTTCTGACTGATTAGGTCAGGCAAAGACTGTAAGCCTCCAGATACCATATCAGATACCATATCTATTTACAGACTGATATGATTCTGTCTTAAATTGTCCTCAATCAATCATCCACAACAGTGTTTGGCAGTTGCTTCTGCCTGGAAGCTAATTGTTATTCTGGAAGCTAATTGTTATTCTCAGACTCTTAATTGGGCCTCAGCAATGTTTTCCAATGGGGTGGATCAGCTGTCTTCCCCAACAGGCAAGGTCGCCTGTGTACCTAATGCCTGCATGAGAAATATGACCTCCACAGCGTAAGGGAATGACTCAGCACAGGAAACCAGGGTGTCTGCCTTCTGAGCTCTAACTCCTGAGCCCCGGATCCTCGCTTCTGTTCACACAGCTTCTGTCCACTCTGCCCTCCCTCTGCAAGAGCACAAGGTAGGTGGCTCCACGGGGAATTTTGTGTGTTGGCCCTTTAAGAGGGTGTCTGAATTTCCAGCTGTCTCTCCCTGGCAGACAGCAATCCTGCTGCTTTTCACAGCCAGATGTTATGTAGTTACCCTTTTCAGTTGTGGTGTTCTCTGCTGGGGGGCCCAGCTCTGGGATTAGACCCTAGAGTTCTCAGTGGCGACCCTAGAGTTCTCAGTGGCAACCCCCAGAGCTGAGATAGCTCTCTAGAACTTCAGTTGCTGTCTGTGGGCACCCGGCCAGCCCTTTTGCCACTCTGCCACTCCTACCAGTTTCTATGCGGTCTCCACTTTCGGTCCTCAGGTATCAGGGTTCTCTCCAGTGAGTCTTCTGTTGATTATTCAGGAATTCCAGTTTGTTCCTTGGAGCATATCTGTGCAGCATCCCCTTATTCCGCTGCCATTTTTAATCTCTGTACTTTATCTTTTAAATTTGCTTCTCTTTCCACCTCCACATAGAACTTGCTCTTGTGTGTATAGTTTGAGCTGTGGTTTTCTGTATTCTGATTGTATCTTTTTTATGTCTTTACAGTTCCCTCAAAATGTCTGGTGCCTTGATTATATACCTTCAGGTGTTATGGATTGTTTTCAAGTTTTACAGATTCTTTTCCTTTTCGTATATCTTCTCTGATGTTCTCCGATGGGGAGCTGAGGAAGTAATAGGAGCATATATTAAGTCTGCCATCTGTTCGGATCAGTCTGCTATTTTGGTCCTGACTTCTAATTGATGTCCTTTAAAAAATTATTTAAGGTTCTGATAATAATGTACAGTGGTTTTGGTTATTGATAAACAAAATGAGCATCCAGACAAATTAGCATACACTGTTGTGTTTGACCTTTTTATGTATTATCCTACCTAATGGGTTAATTTAATATGGTTTTATTTAATTTGAAATAATTGTAACTACATTTTAAATATTTTTGTTTTCTTAGGGAGACAATTATAAAATCTTATATTTTCAGCAATTCTTTTTGAGCAAATGAATAAAAGGAGGTAAAAGCATTATTGCTCTTAGTTTATCTATGGAATGTTTCAAGTCAAAAAGCAAAGCTATTTCAAGGTTGATTAGCATCTGAAAAAAAGTAGTTTAATGCAATTCATTCTCATAATGTAGGTTAGCTATTCAAGTTCGATCAGTTAGCATGAAAACTCTTACTCAGTCCTCAAAGCGCAATTTAATTTTCTTCTTTGGAGTCTTCCAAATTCTCAAACAATTAATTGTTCCTCACTCTATAATTTTATGATGTATTTTATTGTATTATACTAATTATAGGAGTTTTCTTATATTAAAAATACTGTTTTATTCACCAAACTCTGAAGTCCTCCATATTTCTTTTTATTCACTTTTTGCAATCAGAGCATTATATTTGTCTCCTCATTTTGGCTTTCTGTTTGGGTTTGTGATTAGAACATAAGAATTTTAGGAATGGAAGGATGATACTAACTCATCATTCTAATTTTCTATCCCAAATAAATTACAAACTATGTGGAGTCCTGAGATCATAATGACTTTTAATAATGCAACGTTTAAGTTTAATTTGAAATATGTCATTTATTTTTATGAGGTAAGAATTACCATATGGATTTGTAAATATGCAATTACTAGAGGCCTGGTGCACAACATTCGTGCATGCAGGAGGTGGGGGGGGGGGGTCCCTCAGCCCGGCCTGCGCCCTCTCTCAGTCTGGGATCTCTCAGGGGATGTCCGACTGCCAGAGGCGGGAGAGGCTCACTGTTCCTTAGCACTGCTTTGGGGGTGGGAGAGGCTCCCGCCACTGCCACTGCACTTGCCAGCCATGAGCCCGGCTTCTGGCTGAGCAGCGCTCCCCCAGTGGGAGTGCACTGACCACCAGGGGGCAGCTCCTGCATTGAGCGTCTGCCCTCTGGTGGTCAGTGTGCATCATAGCGACCGGTCGTTCTGCTGTTCGGTTGATTTGCATATTAGGTTTTATTATATAGGATGTGGTGCCTTTGAAATGTCTCATTGTATAAAAAAGAAAACTAATCCCGTTTTTAAAATACATTTTTAACAGATAAATCCCAGTATTTTAGATTTGTTATTTTCTTTTTTGAAGGATCAAAGTAACAATGAAATTATGATTGGAGTGATGTCAGGAGGAATTCTGATTTATAAGAACAGGGTACGAATGAATACCTTTCCATGGTAAGGACTTCCATTACTTCTTTTGCTTTTTTATATTACTAATATAATAATTCATATTAAAGAAAGTGATGAAGTATATTAATATTGGCATGCAAATTTATTTTACTTACTTGGAATCTACCAGAAGATACCAAAATAATTGTGTTAATTTATTTCAAAAATTGCTTAGCTTCTCAGAAATACTACTTTATGAATTTTTCTCTTAGGGAATTTCTAAATTTATACTGTAATATAATAGCTAGCATCATGTCTACTCTGGCAGAGAAGCTGACTGGTCTAAGGTTAAACAACTGGTAAGTATGAAGTAGAACTTTAAACCCAGGTCTTTCAGATTCCGAAACACAAGCTTCTCACTTACCACTTCTCTCAAAATTAGAGCTACATGTAAAAAAAGTAGTGTGCCACATACTAAATATGCTCCCTCATATCTTTTCATGTATGGTTATCCCTGAATTATTTAGTTCAAATTCACACTTTTAAAATGTTGAATAGTGAATTGGGGTTATTTGTATTCTGTAAATTAGACTTCATTAAAATTAATACTAATAAAAAACAACACCATTAAGCCTGGCCAGTGGTTGAGCATCAACACATGAACCAGGATGTCATGGTTTGATTCCAGTCAGGGCATATGCCCAGGTGGCAGGTTCAATCCCCAGCATGGAGCGTGCAGGAGGCAGCTGATCAATGATTCTCTCTCATCATTGATGTTTCTATCTTTTCCCTCCTTTCCTCTCTGAAATCAATTAAATATTTCTTTTTAAAAAAGAAATACGTTTTTTTTTAAAAAAAAAAACACCCACCATTAAGAAAATAAAATGGGGAGGAGAGAGTTGTCGTTTCCAGTCCAGCAGGTAAAGAACTTGGAAGTCATCACTCCTATCCTTACAACAAAAAAATAACAACAAAAAAACAAGGAAAAATGAAAATCAACTATTGTTTTTAGATCCCTCAGAGAATTAAGTACTCAAGGCATACTGCATCTCTCAAAACTGGAGAGACAGATGAATATAAAGAATGACAGTTTACTATGACTAAGAAATCACTGCTGTAGCCAGCAACTGGTAGGAAATAATTAAAGGGTAATTGACTATTTGCTGGAGACTGAGCAAAGATAGCTTGAGAGATGAAAACTCCTGAAGTCTCAGCCTTAGGAAGGCCCCCCATGTTTTCATAAGTTCTACCATCAGTTGTTCACCAGGTTCTCAAGGTGAAAATTGGAGAAAAATCTACTCATGTTCTGGAAGGGTTGGGGTTGATGGTGCTGGTGAGCCAGGAGATAACCATTTAAAATATGCCCAGAGCTTTCTTTTCTCTTTAATGAAGGTCTGCCCTCAAGGAAATCCATTTTACTAGTACTTAACCAACATGGTTTTTTATCACTAAGAGCTTAATCAAAGTTGGGGAAGGGAAATCCCCACATCCGGCTCCCTCCATAGTTCTTGTGTCACCTAAGAACAAGGTGAGCTGAAAAGCACTGAAGGTCATAGTCAAGGGTCATAGACCATTAAATCACTGAGACCTAATCATAGGATTAAAGAATTATTCCTCCAACCCACATCTTACTACATCAGCAGGGTTCCTGTATAATACAATTAAAATTTAAATAACTGCAGGACTCAGACTACATAAGAAGTAGTTTGTAGGGAAACCCAGAGACAACAGGAGAGATAAAAACAAAGATGGGATAGGAAATAGCTTCAAACACCTACCTCATAAACTGTTCCTTTGAGGAAGCTACAATTTGATAGCTTTAGTTTCTAAAGGAATTTATGCCCCAGGGCATTATTGAAAACAATAGAGGATTGTGGGTAAGTAAGGGAGTGTTAACACTTGGGAGTTCTTATTGAAAGACTGGGATGTCTGGTACCACTGTCATTTTAGGATTACTGTGGGCATATTCAAAGCTATGCCTTCCTGAAAAGCAACAGTAGAAGCTTAACACGGAGGGTTGACTGCTGGAGATAGAGTTCATAAAAATAATCCAGCAGCCCTGGCCAGTGTGGTTCAGTGGTACAGTGTCATACTTTAATAGCTCAAATTCTGAAAATAAAATGTATTTTAGTAATATTTTTTAAAAATATATTTTCATTTATTTCAAAGAGGGAGAGAGATAAAAACATCACTGATGAGAGAGAATCATTGATCGGCTGCCTCCTACACACACCCTACTGAGGATCGAGCCCAAAAACCTGGGCATGTTCCCTAACCAGGAATCGTACCTTGACCCTCTTGGTTCATAGGTCGACGCTTGACAGCTGAGCCACACAAGCCAGGTGATGAAATATATTCTAATAAACACTGCCTTTATAATTATTCAAAGTGTATATACATTTTTGTATATACAAAAGGACACCCTGATTAAGATATCTATGGAAAATCTTTTAATGTTATGCTAAATCATAAAAGTGTCAATACTTTTTATGTAAGTAAAATCAGGGAAAAGTATGCTTATTCTCTCTACTTCAGCTTTGTTACTTAAGTCCTAACAAGCATATTAAGTCAAGAATCCTATCTAATAAAAGAGAAACATGGTAATTAGCGTACGACCGCTACCCTTCCCATTGGCTAATCAGGGCGATATGCAAATTAACTGCCAGCCAAGATGGCGGCCGGCAGTCAGGCAGCTGGAAGCGAACATGAGGCTTGCTTGCTTCAGTGAAGGAGGACTCCAACGTTCCCCGCCTGCCTTGCCGGCCTCTGAACTGGCAGTTTGAAACATTGTAACAAATATAGAAGCTAAACAAAACCCCAGAAACCAGCTTTCAGCTGGCCGGGATCTCAGAGCTGGAGATGATACAGTGTTTCGATTATAGAACCCAAACAAACCAGATACCTACTTTCAGCAGCAGAGGCCTTGGCCCAGAATAAAAAGAAAAAGAAAAAAAGGAGCAGTTGGGAGCTTCAGTCACCCACCAGCCTGAAAACAGCCCTCAGCCCCTCACCCAGGCTGGCCAGGCACCCCAGTGGGGGTCCCCACCCTGATCCAGGACACCCTTCAGGGCAAACCAGCTGGCCCCCACCCGTGCACCAGGCCTCTATCCTATATAGTAAAAGGGTAATATGCCTCCGGGCACCGGAATCAGCGGAGCCGCGAGGCCTTCCGGCACCGGGATTAGTGTGACAGGGGGCAGCGCCCAAACCCCCTGATCACCCTGCGGCTCTGTGTGTGACAGGGGGTGGCGCCGCAACCTCCCCATCGACCCTGCCTTGAGTGTGACAGGGGGCGGTGCCCCAACCCCCCAATCGGCCCTACCCTGAGCGTGACTGAGGGTGGCATCGCAACCTTCCAATCTCCCTGCTCTGTGCATGACCAGGGCGGCGCCCCAACTCCCCAATCACCCTGCTCTGAGCCTGACCAGGGGCTGCACCTAGGGATTGGGCCTGCCCTCTGCCACCCAGGAGCAGGCCTAAGCCAGCAGGTCATTCTCTCCCGAGGGGTCCCAGACTGTGAGAGGGCACAGGCCGGGCTGAGGGACCCTCCCCTCCCCCCCCCCCCCCCAGGGCACAAATATTTGTGCACCGGGCCTCTAGTATGAAATAAAAGGCAAATAGATTGAAAAGAAAGAAGCAGATATGAGTACATATATAGATTGGCTGAAAATACAGAAATGAAAGTGATATAATATGTAAATGCATTGAAATAGTATTCATAAGAAGGCTAGTGTAGCTAATACTGTATTGCTTTGTACAATGGTCCAACCAATTTGGAAAACTGTTGTGTAGTTTCTTAAAAATTTAAACATAAAAGCTATCACATGATTGAGCCATTCTATTCCTAAGGTTTTACTCAAGGGAAATTAAAGCAAATCCTATATAATAAAAGGGTAATATGCAAAGTGTCCCCTAGACCGGGAGTTCGACCGGGGGTGGGGCTGGCCCGCCAACCTCCTGCATCCCCTTTCTCTGGTCAGGCCAGCCATCCGGACCCCACCCATGCAGGAATTTGTGCACCGGGCCTCTAGTGTGAATTTACAGACTTGCACACATTTTCACTAAGTGGTATGCATTTACTTTTTATCCATATCTTCTATGGCTTGATACATCATTTCTTTTTAGAGCTGAATAATATCCCATTGTCTGGATATACCACAGTTTTTTCATTCATTCACCAACTGAAAGCCATTTTGTTCCTTCCAAGTTTTTGCAGTTATGAATAAAACTGCTTGCTATTAACATCCATGTACAGATTTTTGTGTGGACATGCATTTCCCATTCCTTTAGTTAAATGCCAAGGAGTGCAGTTTCTAGATGGTATGGTACAAGTAAGTTTAGTTTTGTAAGAAATTGCCAAATAGTCTTCCAAAGTGGCTGTACCATTTTGCATTCCCCCCAAAATGAATGAGAGTTCCTGTTGCTCCGTATCCTCGTCAGCATTTGATTTTGTCAGTATTCTGGGTTTCGGCCATTCTGCGGGTCTGTAGTGCTGTCTTATTGTTTTAATTTGCATTTCCCTGATGACATATGATGTGCTTATTTGCCAACTATATATCTTCTTTGGTGAGGTGTCTGTTAAGTGCTTTGGCTCATTTTTATTGGGTTGTTTGTTTTATTGTTAAATTTGAAGAGTTTTTTGTATATTTTGGATAATAGTCCTTTATCAGATGTGTCTTTTACAAATATTTTCTCCTAGTCTGTGGCTTGTTTTCTAATTTATTGCCTTTCACAGAGAACTTTTTAATTTTAATAAATTCAAGCTTCTCAATTATTTTATTAATCATGTTTTTGGTGTTATATCTGTAAGAGCATCCCTATACCCAAGAGTATCTAGATTTTTTTCCATTGTTATATCTAAGAGTTTTATAATTTTGCATTTTATGTTTAGGTCTCTGATCCATTTTGAGTTAATTTTTTTGAAGGGTATAAGGTCTTTGTCTAAATTTATTTTGTTTTTGCATGTGGATGTCCAGTTGTTCCAGCACCATTTGTTGAAGGGACTGCCTTTGCCCTTTCTCAAAGATCGTTTGACTTTATTTATGGAGGTCTGTTTCTGAGTTCTCTATTCTATAACATTGATCTGTTTGGGCTATTCTTTCACGAATACTATACTGTTTTGATTACTATAGCTTTATAGTAAGTTTTTAACTCAGGTAGTCTCACTTCTCCAACTTTGTTGTTTTCCTATAATACATGTTGGCTATTCTGGATTTTTTGCCTCTCCATATAAACTTTAGAATTAATTCATCAGTATTCACAAATAACTTCATGGTATTTTTATTGGGATTGCATTGAATCTATAGATCAAAATGGACAGAATTGACATCTTGGCAAACCTATCCAGGAACTTGGAATTTATTTGCATTTATTTATATCTTCATCGTTTTTGTTCATCGGAGTTTTATAATTTTCTTCATATACTCCTAGTGCATATTTTTTAGATTTATACTTAAGTATTTCATTTTGGGGGGTGCTATTGTACATGGTATTATGTTTTTAATTTCAAATTCCACTTGGTCATTGTTGCTATACAGGAAAGCAGTGGACTTTTGTATATTAACTGTGTACCCTGCAACTTTACTATCATCACTCAGTATTAGTTCCAGGAGGTTTTTTTGTTTGATTCTTTTGGATGTTCTACATAGAAAATTATGTCATCTGTGAACAAAGATAGTTTTATGTGATCCTTTTCAATCAGTGTATCTTTAATTTCCTTTTCTTGCCTTATTGAAAAGGAGTGGTTAAATGGGACATCCCTACATTTTACCTGATCTTAGATAGAAAACTAGTTTCACACCATTAAGTATGTTAGTGCAAGGGTTTTATAGAAAGTTGAGAAACTTTCCCTCTATTCCTACTTTACAGAAGGGTTTTAATCATTACTAGGCATTGGATTTTGTCAGATGCTTATTCTGAATGTATTGATGTGATCATGTAATTTTTTTCTCTTTTAGTCTTTTGAAGTATTGGTTTATAGTAATTGATTTTCAAAAAGCCTTGCATTTCTGGGATAAATCCCCTTTGGAATTGTTAGATTTCATATGATAATATTTTATTTAGGGTTTTTAAATTTATGGTTATAAGAGATACTGTTTTGTAGTTTTCTTGTAAGGTCTTTGTCTAGTTTTGGTATTAGGATAATTCTGACATCATAGGATGACTTTGGAAGTATTCCCTCTGCTTCTATACTCTGAAAGGGATTGTAAAGAATTGGTATAATATTTAAATGTTTGGTACAGTTCACTAGTGAACACATGTGGGCCTGGTGGCTTTTTAAAAATTCCTTTAATATCTACAGTAATCCCCTCTTATCTGCAGTTTGCTCTCCACAGTTTCAGTTATCCATGGTCTAAAAATTTTAAATGGAAAATTCCAGAAATAAACAATTCATACATGTTAAATTGTATGCTGTTCTGAGTAAGGTGATGGAATCTTGAACTGTCCAGCTCCACGCAGCCAGTAATGTGACTCATCCTTTTTTCAGCATATTCAATACCTGCCCATCAGTCACCTAGTATCCCTCTCAGTTATCAGATCTTAGTACTTACATTCAAGTAACCCTGATTTTACTTAATAATGGCCCAAAGTGCAAAACTTAGGGATGCTGGCAATTTGGATACGCCAAAAAGAAGCCATAAGTTGCTTTCTTTAAGTGAAAAAGTAAGTATATATAGGGGGGGAAATCATTCAGAGGTAGGGTTCAGTACTATATGCATTTTCAGGCATTCACTGGGGTATTGAAGTTTATCCCCTGAAAATGAAAGGGGACTACTGTATAGGCCCATTTAGATCAAGTATCTCTTCCTATGTAAATTTTGGCAGATTGTGTCTTTCAAAAAATTAGTTCATTTCATTGAAATTATCAAATTTGTGGGTATAGACTTGTTCATAGTATTCTTTCATTATGCTTTTAATATCAGTGGGATTTATAGTAATGTCTACTCTTTCATTTCTGATATTAGTACTTGTGTATTCTCTTTTTTCTTAGTCTGCCTAGAGGTTTATCAATTTTATCGATCTTTTAAAATAATTGTTTTCTTAATTTGCTAATATTTATGTCTTTATTCAGTATTTTAAATATTTCAGTTCTGTTTCTTTTTATCTAGGTTGAAGATTGTAAAAATTTCGTTTAAGTGCAAACAGTTTTTTATTCAACTTAGAAAAGAATTGGTGAGTATCGGTCTAATAATTATTAATATAAATGAAGTCTTAAGAAGTGACAGGTCATTCATGGCAACTTTTAGTGCTAGTGAAAGTGTTATTAATACTATTGAAAACTGCTTCCTGACTTAATTCACATTTTATGACAAGTTGTATTATTTTCCCAGTGTTTCTGTGGTTATGATTTAAAGTTGTTCTAATTATCCATTTTGCTATTTTTTAAGCTTAAAAACTGACCTCAGTCATGATGTTTAATATCAGTCCCCAGGGTCCATTCATGAGGGCAGTAACTGAGTATTTTATATGTTCTTTTTCTTTTTACTACCAAATCTATAGCAGTTCCTTCATATATAAGCTCATTTTATTTTAGGGAACCTGAGTGTTTAGTTTTAGTTCTTGTTCATGAACATATAGTTCATGTCTCCCTTTTTTTGTAGTGGCAGTGTCCTTTTTATATATTAAGTACAGCGTATTGCGTATGGAAAGTAATGTTTGAAAGAACTTCATCTTGTAGTTTTTTTTTTTCTATTTTATGAGATTAGACTAATCTTATTCTTTGATGTATATTATTTCTCAGAAATCTTGACAAATCACTGCAGATTTCAGGATAGTTGTGTGTTATGGGGATCCCTGTTCGTGGCGTCAGATATGGGGGGATGGCGTTCTCTCTTCTTGCAACCAGTGCAGAGAGAGAGAACTCCGGGGTTGATGAAATCTTGAATAGAACTCGATGAGGTTTAAGGAAAATTGAATAAAACAAGACTGAGACATAAATAGAGGAAAGCTGGGACCGGGTGTGGCGTCTGTTCTTTGATAGATGAACAGGGCCCAGAGACAGCGCAGCAACTTTTATTTATAGCCAAATACCAGGAAGTTTTACTAAGGGTAAATAAAAGGGGGAATGTGTGCATTTTTGTAGCTTCCTTGTAAATAGTCACCTCCGGGTGGGTCCGAATCGCGTTCATTCCTGGTGCTTGACTGGATTCAGATGAAAACCCATTTCCCGGCACCTGGCTTTGAAGGTCAACTGAGGCATTCCCACCTCTTGGTTAGAAATGCCCCCAAGATAAGGCTCTGCCTTCATCATGGATTCAGTTGACATGAATTTAAAAGAAAGCCAGTGCCTTCCCTGGCAGAGGGCCTTCCACAGTGTATGTTTAAAATATATTCAAGATCTTAAAATTGTATTTGAATCAGCTACATTTTATCAGAAGATAGTGATCTACTAAGTCACTATGATCCATCATTTATGCTCACAAAATAAGGAAGTTTTTTTCAACAGAGTTTTATTGAAATAGAAAATTATACAGATATTATGTATAGTGCTTAATAAGTATCCTATCTAATAATAGACAAACATGGTAATTGACGGTACCTTCGCTACGCCTCCCATGGGCTAATCAGTGCGATATGCAAATTAACCCAACCAAGATGGCGGCCTGCAGCCACGCAGCTGAAACGAGCAGGAGGCTTGCTTGCTCCAGTGATGGAGGAAGCCAAGGTTCCCCGCCTGCCGCGGCCTGGCTTTGAGCTCCGAAAGCAACAAAGTTTCAATTATAGAAGCTAAACAAACCCCAGATACCTGCTTTCAGCAGGCCGTGGCTCAGAGCTGGAGCGAGCAGGAGCAGCTCTCAGCTCCAGTGACGGCAACAAAGTTTCAATTATAGAAGGTAAATAAATCCCAGAATAAAAAAAAAGAAAAAAAGGAGAGGCTGGGAGCTTCAGTCGCCAGCCAGCCTGAAAACGGCCCTCAGCCCCTCACCCAGACTGGCCAGGCATCCCAGTGGGGACCCCCCACCCTAAAGGGGGTGTGGCCAGCCTGAAAACAGCCATCAGCCCCTTACCCAGGCTGGCCAGGCACCCAAGCGGGACCCCCACCCTGATCCGGGACACCCTTCAGGGCAAACCAGCCGGCCCCCAACCGTGCACCAGGCCTCTATCCTATATAGTAAAAGGGTAATATGCAAATTGACCCTAACAGCAGAAAGACTGAGAGTGACTGGTCACTATGACACACACTGACCACCAGGGGGCAGATGCTCAATTCAGGAGCTGCCCTCTGGTGGTCAGTGCACTCCCACATGGGAGAGCTCTGCTCAGCCACAAGCCAGGCTGATGGCTGCCAGTATAGCGGTGGTGGTGGGAGCCTCTCCTGCCTCCTCAGCAGCGCTAAGGATGTCCGACTGCAGTTTAGGTCTGCTCCCCGCTGGCAAGTGGACATCCCCTGAGGGCTGCCGGGCTGCCAGAGGGATGTCTGATTGCCAGCTTAGGCCCAATCCCCCCAGGGAGCAGGCCTAAGCCAGCAGGTGGTCATCCCCCGAGGGGTCCCAGACTGCGAGAGGGCACAGGCCAGGCTGCGGGGACCCCCCCCCCCCAGTGCACAAATTTTTGTGCACCGGGCCTCTAGTATGATACATAATGTTAAGATGTAGAACATTATCACCACCCCAGAAGCTGGTATTATTGCTAATAGAGGTGATGCCCACTTGCAGTCCTTAACCCTTCCAAAAGGCAAACATTACTCTCATTTGTATCACCATGGATTAGTTTATTTTTGAACTTCAAAGAAATTCTATAGGATGTTCTCCTTTTGTCTCCTTTTTCTCTCTTAACATTATGAAGTTCATCCATGTTTTTGAACTACTAGCAGTAGTTTGCTCCATTACTGTATGGTATTCTACTGAATGAATATACCATAAATAGTTATTCTTACGTTAGTAAACAGTTTTGTCATTTCCAGATTGTAGCTATTATTGTTAAAGCTACTTATGAACATTTTTTACATGTTTCAATAAATGCTTAGAGGAATAAAATATATCTTATCTGGAAACTGGAGAACAAACATATTTTACCTTATATGGGTAGAAGACAGTAAAGAAGTCAACTTTTCTAATTTGCTTCCCATTATAGTACTGTTATTACTCATCATAACAGTACTTATAGTATCTAACATTTATTGAGGTCTTACTGTGTACCTGGTAATATACCAATCATTTGCATATCATTTAATCCTTACAACCATTGCCTCAGATAATATCAGTAACAAAAAGTCAACTAACAATTGATTAAAGACTGTAGACAGACATACTCTGCAGAATGGTGCCTTCTAATGTTTTCTCTCTGAAATATCTCTTTGTTTTTAAATACCCAAACTTTATAGAACCTATTTATCTCTCAATACCACATTTAGCATATCTATTGTTTACAATATGTGTGGGAAAGTTTGTTACATTCCAAATACAATTGGTAGAATGTCAGAATCATATATAGACTTTTTGAAGTTAAGTGTCAAAAGAGGGAGCACAGAACAGTTACTGCAGTCATATTCTGAGACATTCTCTGTCATTTTTTATTGTTTGTGGTATGTGGTACAACATGTAACTATGTAATGCATGCAAAGCAACCCTTAAGCATAATTGAGAATTCTTTGATGATCTAGAAGTGATATTTTAAGCATATTATCTTCTAACAGTAATTTAATATCTATACCTGGGCATTTTACTGTATTTTAGTTATGAAAAAATATCTTTATGACCTTTTGATGGGCAAAGAGTTCTTTAATTGGACAGAGAAGCAAAACTATCTTAAAAGAAAAATTCAATAACCTGAACTGTGTTAAAATTAATAACTGTATTCATCAAAAAACATCATTAAGAGAGTGAAGTATCACAGACTGTGTATGTAATACACACACACCACATCCTGGGTTGTACATCCAATCTAATCTAAAAATATGTTAGTGGATTGAACAGACACTGCAGAAATTAGGATATCCACATGGCCAGTAACATGAAAAGATGTTGAACCTCACTAATCATCAGGGAAGTACAAATGATAACAAAAATGGGATACTTCTTCACATCCACCAGAATAGTGTAATGAAAATACTTGATAAAGCAGTGGTGAGTATGTGGAACCACACTGCTGGTAGGAAGGTGTGTATATATATATATATTTAACATTTTGTAAAACTGTTGGGTATTATTTGCTAAAGGTGAACACATACATATCTTTGATCCAACAGCAGAAATATGCACATGTGTGCATCTCACAACATGCAGTAATATACTGTAAATAGCAATATTTATACATACCCAAATTGAAAACATCAAATGTCTATCAACAATAAATGGATATATAAATAGTGGTATGTTCATATAATAGAATGCTGTGTAGAATGAAAATGAGTGAATCACTGCTTCATAATTATATGGATGAATAGAATATAGAAATATATCAAATAAAAGTCAGACCTAAAAACAAAAGATAATATATGTATGATTTCATGCATATAAAGTTCATAAACTAGGTAATCTGGTAGAAAGTCGAGAACAAGGATACTTCAGGGGTGCTAGTAATGATCATTTCTTGATCTGATTTGAGGTTAAATGGTTGCATTTATTGTGTGAAAATCAGAGCTGTACACTTATGACATATGTGCCTCACTTTATATAGCTAATTTCAATGAAGCTATTTAAATCAAACTTACAGAGAAAAATTAAAGAAATGCTCCATTCTGTTGCTACTTATTTTAATTGAAATTTGAGTTTCATAATAGTGTTTAGAAGTGCTGAATATTTTTATCTACTTATTTAGCACTTAAACAGATTTATAAGCTTAGAGATATTAAAGGATGTGATGACATATCTTAAAGTTTAATTTATTGGCCAGGATTATTATTTTTTATTTTATTTTATTTATTTTTATTGATTTCAGAGAGGAAGGGAGAGGGAGAGAGAAATAGAAACATCAATGATGAGAATCATTGATCGGCTGCCTCCTGCACGCCCCCTACTAGGGATCGAGCCCGCAACCTGGGCATGTACTCTTGGCTGGAATCGAACCTGGGACCCTTCAGTCCACAGGCCAGTGCTCTATCTGCAGAGCCAAACCAGCTAGGGCAGCCAGGATTATTATTTTTGTTGTTGTTAATCCTCACCTGAGGATATTTTTTTTTTCCATTGCTCTTCAGAGACAGAGAGTTCAGAGACAGAGAGTGGGAGAGAGAGAGAGAGAGAGAGAGAGAGAGAGAGAGAGAGAGAGAGAGAGAAAGAGAAAGAAACAAACATCGATGTGAGATTGGTTGCTTCCTGCACATGCCCAACTAGGGCCAGGGATGGAACCTGCAACCCAGGTACGTGCCCTTGACCAGGAATCAAACCCACAACCCTTCAGAGCACCGGCCAGCGCTCTAACCATTGGGAAAACCTGCCAGGTCCAGGATTATATTTTGAAACAAATTAGAGCTAGAAAGTTTTGAAAAAGATACATCAATTTTTAAACTTATTTCTAACTATGTTCTAAAGTAAAACTAAGAGTTGTAATAAGGCCCACATTTTAGAAACCTTTTCATTTATTTTGTTGCTTTTTTTTACTGGATAATAACAACAACAACAAAATAAACGAGTGATTAGTGCTTGTAAGGCTAGAATATTTACCTATAAAAAGTAAATGGAGCGTTGATCTTGATATATTCCTGGTATTCTCTGCTTTTTGTTATTTATTACAGCATGAATCCAGAGAAACCTTATTGGGATTTAATATGGTGAACTACAGAGCATGCAAAAATTTGTGGAAAGCTTGTGTAGAACATCACACCTTCTTCCGTTTGGACAGACCCCTTCCACCTCAAAAGAATTTTTTTGCACATTATTTTACATTAGGTTCAAAATTCCGGTACTGGTAAGTATTGCTTATGCATTAATGCTGCATTGCTAGATTTTTCCTCCCTTTAAATTAAAGGTATAGTTTATTGAACCATAGAATTGTTACTCATACATACCTACAGAATCAAAATCTCCATAACTATATCAATAAAAAGTTCTGTAGGTTCTTGTGAGAAACCTGTTTCATTGACTTTATTTCATTTCATTAGTTCCTATAGTTAATGAATGATATTTAATTATTTATATTCTAGAAATGTTATAATTTCTACTGTTTTTATAAATATTTACAAGAAAACTTCTTTGTTCCAAGACACCTTTTATTTGTAAGCTGTTTTCTGCATAAGCATACTAATACTTTGCTTTTTTTATGTGTGAGTTCTCAAACCCTTTATTGTAAAGAGTTCAAAACAGCTGTTATACAAAATCAGATTTAATAACTGAAAAGTATGCCTATGTTCTTTTCCTAATATTGTTGTATTTTTTATTTGTGATAGCTTTTATTTTTTTCCTGAAGGCAACAATCTTTGGGGGATAGCTAATCAGATAAAAATAACAGCATAAGGCTTCGTACAGGGTATTCTATTTAAAATGCATGCCTTCCCCTCCCCCCAAAAATTCAGTAGCAACTCAAACAGAATTGGGGAAATTTTAACATTGTCCCATGCACCAAGAGGTCAAGGCACATGCTCAGGTTTCAGGCTCGATGCCCAATAGGGGGCGTGCAGGAGGCAACTGATCAATGTTTCTCTCTCTCTTTCCCTCTTTAAAAATCAATAAAGACTTCTTATTTTTTCAGGCACAGCAGATTTTTAAGTGGCTTGGTGTCATGATTAACTCCTAGCTCACCTTCCTAAAAGCAATATTGGAAAAACTAAGGCAGTGGTACTTGCAAATTCTAAGGTAAATAGAGAGAGTGAGTGTTAGATCAATGGTGAAAGTCAAGGAAAACTTTACTAAACATTAAATATTGGTACTATACCTCAGCAAAGACAAAAGAAATCTCTAATGAGAGAACAGTACTGACCATAATGGTCTCAATAAATTTAATTCCTAACTAAGCAACCCCCAGAGTTATTGTACAAGGACTATACTTACCTATACTCTTCTTCTGTCCTTGAAAATACAATCTTCTATAATAATAAAAGCATAATATGCTAATTAGACCAGAGGATCTTCTGGACGAAGCCAGGGCTGCAAGGAAAGCCAGGTCCCAGGTGCCTGCCAGTGGCAGGAGGGAAGCCCAGGTCCCGGGTACCAGAGGGAAGCCGCTGCTGGCAGCCGGGGGAAGGAAGGCCTACTCTTGCATGAATTTCATTTATCGGGCCTCTAGTATAAATATAAATAATGCACACACCATTTTACTTAGCAGCAAAGAAATGAGTAGATTGTAGTATCCAGCCTTTCACTATAATTCAAACAGGTCTCAGATAAGATGAGAAAAAAAATCAAGGAATTTACCCAAACTATACCACAGCAAACAAAATCTATCATGATGACGACAAATACAAAAGAGAGTTAAATAATCAGTTTGGGGAAAAATCATCACTGAAAAAAAATGAAATTTCTACATGGATATTGATTTTTTTTTTTTTTAATGAAGAAGCTAAAGAAATTAGTTTAAAACAAGAAAATATTGGTGGGGAGAAGAGCAACACCTGCCATTCAGCCTATTACTGCCCTTGGGGGAATATGGGCCTAGTACTAGCAGGTTTTGCATTTCGAAACAGCTTTATTAAGGTGAAATTGACATACAATAAGCTACTATATTTAAAGTTTTAAAATTGATGTTTGGAGATACATACTCATTAATCCATCACCACTTAAGATAGCAAGCATATCTACCCAAAATGTTTCCCCAAACCCATTTATAATTCCTTTCTCCCACTCTTTTATATCCCCATGAAACCAACAATATATTTTACTGTATATATAAATATATGTAAATGGTTTGTTTTTCTAAGGTTTTATGTCAGTTTAAGCATGTATATTGCAGGTTTGTATTTTAGTCTGGCCTCTTTTACTAAGCATAGTTATTCTAAAATTTATCTGTGTTGTTACATTTATTGATGGAGTAGTATTTTATTGTGGAGTAGTATTCCATTGTATAGATATACTATAATTTTTTTATCTGTTCACTTGATTATGGATATCAAGTGGTTTGTTTCCCCATTTGGTTTGTTACCAAATTTGAGCTCTTAATAAAGCTACTGTGAACATTCATGTGAAATGTTTGCTTTAATTTCCCTTGATTAAATACCTAAGAGTGGAATGCCCAGATCATGTGCTAGATATATATTTAACTTTTCAGAAACTGCCAATCATTTTTTTAAAGGAGTTTGTACCATTGTATGTACCCACCAGCAATGTATGAGAGTTCCACTCAGTATATTCTCACCAATATTTGTTATCTTTTCATTTTACTAGTGTCTTTTGAAGAGCACATAATTTTGATGAAGTTCAAATTGCCAGTTTGTTCTTTTATGGATTTTTCTTTTGGTTTCATAGCTAAGAAATCTTTGTCTAACTCCAGGTCACTAAGATTTATTCCTGTTTTCTTCTATGAGTTTTATAGTTTTAGCCCTTAAGATTTAGGTCTATGATTCATTTGAAATGATTTTTGTATATGGTGGGAAGGATGGATTAATTTTGTTAGGGGTTTGCTTTTTTGTTTTGTTTTTGCATATGGACATCTAATTGTCCCAGCACAATTTATTGAAAAGATTATCCTTTTTCCATTTACTTGCTTTTACATCTTTGTTGAAAATCAATAATTCAGATTTTTACAGACTTATTTTTGCTCTTATATCTAATAAGTTTTAAATTCAGTAGTATTAGTTCTCCAACTTTGTTTTTTTTTATTTTCTCTTTTTAATTGTCTTTTCTTTTTCATTTTATTTTGGTTTTTTTTCTTTTAGAAGCAAAGCCTTTTTTTTTAAGTTTCTTTATATGATGAATGACATTGATTTTCCAAGTGTTAAACTTTCCCTACATTCCAGTGATAAACCCTACTTTGTCATCATCTTTTACCCTTTTCTTATATTTTTTTATTCACTTTGCTAAATTTTTATTTAGAATTTTTGCATTCATGTTCATGAAGGATATTATTTTGTAGGTTTCTAATAATGTCATTGTCAAGTTTTGGTGTTAGGTTTTTGGCCTCATTAGATGAGTTGGGGGGAAAATAAATGAGTTGGGAAGTATTTCCTCATTTTCAACTTTCTAGAAGACTTTCTGTGGTAATGGTATTATTTTCTTTTGAAATGTTTGATAGAATTTACCAATTAATCCATGTAGGCCAGAAGTTTTATTTACTGGAAGCTTTTGGACAACACATGAAAATTCTTTATTAGCTATAAAGTAATTCAAGATTTCTCTTCCTGAACAAGCATTAGTAGGTGTTTTTCAAGAAACTTATCTATTTCATCTAAGTTGTTGAATTTTTTGACATAAAGTTTATAATATTTCCCTTTTATCTTTATATCTCTAGAATCTGTAGGAATGTCATTTCTGTCATTCTTGATATTGATAATATGTTTCTTCTCTTTTTTTCCTGAATAGTCTCACTGGAGATTTATCAGCTTGGATTAAATATTTTTAAATATTGAACGACAAAGCTTTTATCCAGCCCTGGCCAGCATGGCTCAGTTGGTTGAGCATTGTCCTATGCACCAAGAGGTCACTGGTTTAATTCCCAGTCAGGGCACATGCCCAGGTTGCAGGCTCGATCCCCAATGGTGGGCATGCAGAAACTTTTTTTCAGACTTATATATAGCTTGACTACCATGTCTAAAAGGGGAAAAACATATATTATATGTTTATAAACATATACCAACACATAATATTCATATATTATAAAACATATATTATACAAAAAATATATTATACTTAGCCAGGTTGCCATTGAAATTTAGACATTAACAAAAATAAAAATCCTCACAGAATGTAACATTTCTGAACCCATTTTTTAAAAATATTTACTAGTGCCCAGCCGGCATGGCTCAGTGATTGAGTGTCCCGGTTTTGGGGCTCGTTCCCCAGTAGGGGTCTCGCAGGAGGCGGCCGATCAATGATTCTCTCATCATTGATGTTTCTATCTCTCCCTCTCCCTTCCTTACAGAAATCAATAAAAATATACCTTGAAAATATTTAATAGTAAAATTGAGCTATTCAGGAGATAAATTAAACTAGCTCATGAGCCCTAGCTGGTTTGACTCAGTGGATAGACTCTACCTTCAGTGGTTCTCAACCTTCCTAATGCCACGACCCTTTAATACCGTTCCAAATGTTGTGGTGACCCCCAACCATAAAATTTTTCTTGCTACTTCATAACTGTAATTTTGCTACTGTTATGAATCGTAATGTGAATATCTGATATGCAGGATGTATTTAGGCGACCACTGTGAAAGGGTCCTTCGACCCCCAAAGGGGTTGCGACCCACAGGTTGAGAACCGCTGGGATAGAGCGTCAGTCCTCGGACTGAAGGTTCCCAGGTTCACTTTCCAGTGAAGTGCACTTACCTCAATTATAGGCTCCATCCAGTCCCTGATAGTGGCACATGCAGGAGGCAACCATTCAATGTGTATTTATCACATTGATGTTTCTCTCTCTGTCTCCTCCCTCCCTTCCAGTCTCTCTAAAAAAATCAATGGAAAAATATATCCTCGGGTGAGGATTAACAAACAAACAAAAAATAGCTCATGAACTGGCCCTGGCTGGGTAGCTCAGTTGGTTAGAGTGTTGTCCCAATATGCCAAGGTTGTGGGTTCAATTCCCGGTCAGGGTATATACCAAAATCAACCAATGAATGCATAAATAAATGGAACAATAAATTGATGTTTTTCTCTCTCCTTCCCTCTTTTCCTCCCTTCTCTGCTTCCCTCCTTCCCTCCCTCCCTCTTTCCTTTTCTCTCTCTCTAAAAATCAATAAAAGTAAATAAATAAATAGATCAAGGAGAATCTGGCAAAAAGAACTAAGAATGAAGATTAAGCCCTTTAAATATAGAACTAATTCTTGA